AATTTTCCCTCTTCCTGGAAAGAAGTCCAGGTTAATCCTTTACCCAAAAAAGCAAATCCTTCCAGTTTCTCTGACTATCGCCCCATATCCGTAATTCCATTCCTTTCAATAATTTTTGAACGGATAGTTCATCGAAAATTGAGCCTCTACTTATCTAGGTGGAGTTTTTTCAATTCTTTTCAATCCCTTAGGTTTCTTTAGTCAAAGTTACAGAGGATATTCTTCTCAATATGGATAATTAGCAAGTAACAATGTGGATTTCGATCTACTGTTATCTACCTTAACATTTCTTAACATATCTTCTGAAGTATTTGACGGTTTCATAGTTACTTGTTTGGTCGCCGGAAAAGAACACGTGTTGATGACTCATTCTCCAACTGTTGTAGGATTAATATGGTGTACCCCAAGGTGGCATATTGTCTCCTCTCCTCTTTTCAATTTTCGTAAGTTCGATTACGCTCCAATTATATTCTTGCTATACCTGTATGCAGATGATCTGCAAGTATATGTGCATGCCAAATTGATAGATTTACCCAATACTATAGGCTTATTAAACAGAAATCTTGACTTAATTGTAGATTGGAGTAAGTTACATGGTCTTAAAGTAAATCCATCAAAAACAAAAGCAATGATAATAGACAGTCCAAAATTGGTTACCCCTATAGAATTGATAGTGGATAAAGTGAAGAGTGGATAGGGATTTACTATGGCAAACACTGAACTCATTTGGGTTGAGCGCTGGCTTGATACAGGCATTGGAGTCTCTTTATAGGGACTATAGTGCTTGTGTTAGGATCAACGGGGTCTACTCGGACTGGTTTGACATCCATAAAGGTGTCAGACAGGGCTGTGTGGCTTCCCCGTGGCTGTTCAACCAATTTATGGACAGTTGTTTGCAAAATTTGAAAGTTGAAGAATGCGGATTAAGAATGGGTGAGTTAACCGTCAAATGCCTTTTGTACGCCGATGATCAAGTTATTCTTGTGTCGTCGGCGGCCGAGTTGCAAATGATGGTTACATTAATGAACGGATCATTAAAAGAAAGGGGTATGAAAGTGAACGCAAGTAAGACGAAGGTTATGGTTTTTGAAAGAGAAGAAAGTAAAACGATTTGTGAAACAAGAATAGAAGGGGAGTTGACCGAGCAAGTAGATGAGTTTGTATATTTGGGCTGCGTATTTAGCAGTGATGGGAGATATGATAAGGATATAGAACGACGAGTGAATGCGGGAAATAGAGTAAATGGGGCCTTGCACTCTATTGTGAAGAGTCAAAATGTGTCGAAAAAGGCACGTATAGCAATTCACAATGCTGTGTTGGTCCCTACTTTAACGTATGATAGTGAAAGTTGGGTGTGGCAGAAGAAGCACGAGAGTAGAATAAACGCAGTAGAAATGCGGTCGTTAAGGAGTATGTTAGGGCTGAATCTGAATGACAGGGTAAGAAATTGTGTAATAAGAGAAGAGTGTGGTTTGTAAGATGATGTTGTGACCAAGATTAAGAAAGGAATGCTTCGGTGGTTTGGTCATGTGGAAAGAATGAATAAGGAAAGAGTGACAAAGAAAATTTATGGTGCAGAAGTGAATGGCAGAGTCGGAAAGGGAAGTCCTAGGCGAAAATGTATCGACCAAATTGAAAACTATTGTTTGAAAGTTTGAAATTTTTATTTTTATTTATTTATTTATTTATTTAGGTACACAAAACAGAATAACACCAAAACATGAACAATTGAAAATAATAAATACAAAGTTACAATCTGGATGGTAGTCCAAAACATGTGCACACAACATGATATTAAGTAACGGTAACGATTATACAGCACAAATAATTAAAACCTTACTTATAAACATACTATATTTATGAACTTATGTTGTGGAAAATTTTAAAAAATTAAATCTTTATTAAAATAATGTTCATTAACCTACATATTTAAATTTAAATTTAAATTTTAAGCCTTGAATGCCTTATTTACAAAATATATCTAATACAGATTTTTTTGAAATTGTTTAATTTGTTATTAAAAATATCTATATTTTTACTATTATTAATCAATAAGTCATTATATAGGCGACACATTCTTACAAGAGGATTGTAATAGGACGTATTATTTCTATAAACTTGCAAAGCAAAAGTATTTAGGAAAGTATACCGACGATGGGGCTTAGTATTAATCTTGACAAATGAAAGGAGGGTGGGGGAATCTATAAAAGAATGAATAATTTTGAAAAGGCAAGTCATATCCTGATATTTACACCGAGTTTGTAGTGACATAATGTTAAACTTTTTTAGTTTCTCTTCATAGGAGGGCAGACTTCTATTTAAACCGTACCTATAGCAGAGGATTGATAGAAATTTCTTTTGAACACGTTCAATACGATCTACGTGGACAGCGTAGTATGGAAACCAAATAATTATGTTGTACTCTAAAATACTGCGTACTAGGGAACAGTACAAAATAAGAAAGCTTCGTGGATTTTTAAAAATCTTTGCAGTTCTAAATATAAAGCCAAGAAGTTTTGTACTTTTAGATATTACATGATCGTAATGATCGCGAAACGTAAGCTTTTCATCAAACAGTATTCCAAGATCCTTAACTACGGATTTTCTATCAAGTACCTGTCCATTTATTTTATACTCAAATGTAAGTCTGTGCTTCTTGTTACTAAATGATAACACAAAACATTTTCTCGTATTCAGATGCATTAGATTTTCCTTACACCAATTATGAATGGAGTCTAAATTCGACTGAAGATTGAACGAATCGCTGAGTGTATCAATAACGGAAAATATCTTCAAATCATCTGCATACAACAGGCATGGACATGTCAATTTATCAATGAGATCGTTAATAAACGTAATAAAAAATAAAGGACCTAAATGGGACCCTTGTGGCATACCCGATGTCACAGAAACGGGTGAGGATTTGAAACCTTTTATAGTAACTAACTGACTTCTCCTGTTGAGGTATGATTCAGTCCATCTCAACAGACTCCCATGTATTCCGTAACATGCTAATTTAATACATAAGATATTATGATTTACTCTATCGAATGCTTTTTAGAAATCGGTATATATGCTATCAACCTGTTTTCTCTTGGCGAAAGCACTGCAAAGATAGTGTTTGTATTCAAGTAAATTAGAAGTCGTCGATCTGTTCTTAATGAAGCCATGTTGTCGAAGCGATAGGAAAGGTTGAATATGATGATAAAGAGAATCATACACCAATGATTCAAACAATTTACCAAGGCAAGACAAGATGCTTACGGGTCGATAATTTTCGCAATTTGATCTGTCGCCAGATTTATAAATCGGAACAATATGAGCTATTTTCCATACTGATGGAAAAATACCTGCCTTAATGGATGCATTAAATATAATAAACAAGGGATTACTTAATTCCTTCCCGCATTTCTTAATGAATAACGGAGGAATACCATCTGGTCCAGAGCCTTTTCTTTGGTCTAATTTCGCGATCTTTTGCTGTATGTGGTCTGGTGTGATTGTGATATCACTTAGGGTACAATTACTACGATTGGATAATTCATTGTGAGAATATAAGATAGTCTCCTCTGGGTTTGCAAAGACAGAACTGAAATAATTAGAGAAAAGCTCACATATTTCTTTTTCATCGGAAGAGATGTGATTACCATATTTCATCGTTTTGGGAATGCTATTAGCATTATTTTTCTTGTCATTGACAAAACGCCAAAAAGAATTTTATGTCATCATCTAAAGAAGATTCGACGGAAGATACAAAATTTTTATAGTCATTTTTAATAAGTTTTTTACATCTGTTGCGTAACATGGAAAATGTATCATAATCCCGAGGATTCTTATATTTTTTGAAACGACGATGATATTTTAGTTTTTCTTCTAAGCTTTGCCTTAAAGCAGGTGTGAACCATACTGGATAGTTGTTTGTGTCAATTTTGGTCATAGGTGTATGTTTTGCAATAATATTCCTAAGCTCTGCGTAAAATGCGTCAGTCATGCTATCAATATCTTTATGAATTGACAAGATATTATGCCATTTAACTGATTTTAATTCAAGATTTATTTTTGAATAAATTTGGTCGTTTTTGTTTTTTGTTTTTAAAATTATTTGAGTTTATTTCAACAAGATTAATATCTGCAACTAATGAGGGGTGGTGGTTATCTAAGCGACTCAATGGCTCCACTTCATAAACCTGAATGCTGTTCGAACTGAAAAGAATTAGGTCTAAAAATCGTCCGTTGTTATTTGATATACTGTTATAATTATCAAGGTTACATATTCTAAGGGTATCACAAAGCAGATTAGCTTTTTGACCTCGCGGGTGAAGAGGAATCATATAATTATACTGTGATGATTTAGACCAGTCAACGTCGGGTATATTAAAATCCCCTATACAAAGAAATTCTTCCGTGTTGCGATATCGCATAGCGATATCGCATAATTACGTTTTGACAGTTTGTAAAAAATTTATCGATGCAGTCTAAAGGCAGATCTGGCGGAAAATAACAGAGACAAATATTAATAATTTTAACATTAGTGGCTTTTGGCAATATACTGATCCACAAGTCTTCTAGCTCACTATTCCAGGAAACTTGATAAATAAAATTTATTTCTTTTTTAACGGCAATTAGAATTCCCCCGCCCTCAGATTTACGTGCATTTAATTGATATCTGTCGCGCCTTACAACATTATAGCGAGTGTCAATGAATTCACCGTCAAAAAAGTGCTATTTAAGTTTGTTTCAGTTATACAGATAATGTCATAATCATTATTAAGTACATTAAGATAGAACTCTTTTGTTTTTGATCTTAAGCGATTAACATTTTGATAATAAATTAACATTATACAAGACTAAAATTCCCAAATACATAAACCAAATATAGCAACAGAAAAAAATTGTGATATTATGACAGCTTGTTTAAGCATTCCATATTTCTAATGTGTATACAGGCCGCAGTGTCTTCCTCACGAATATATATACGTCCGAACTTAACCCATACATACTTATATTTTTTTCTCCTTTGCAAAATTTCTAGCAGCAGCATGAAGAGCCTTACATTCCGGAGAAAGATGTTCAGTCACATAAATTTTTCGCTTTTCGCAATTTAATCCGATGTTGTTGGTATTCAAGGGATTGTCTTTATTGGCTTTATTATAACGATAACATGCGGAGAGAACTTGGTCCCGTAAGCGTGGGTTGATGAGAGTTACAAGAATATTTCTAGGGCGTTCGGAGGAGATGTCGTATTTGGCAACTCTACGGCAAGAATGAATGTTCTCATCATCTATTTGAATATTTACTGTTTTACACAGGTTGCGGAATAACACCATTGGATTTTCATTTCGACTTTCTGGTACTAACTGAATTTCAAAATTTTTGCTACGGGAAATTTTTTCAATTGATGTTAAACGATTGGTCAGAACATTAATCTCCTTTTGAAATCGAAGGGTTTCAGATTCTAGGTGTTTTATTATGTAACTCTTATTTTCAATTTCTTGCTTTAGGGAAGACTGTTCATCACATATAAAGTTAGTGGTTACAGTAAAATCGTCTTTAAGCTGCTGCACAACTGAGTCCATCTCCGCTTGTACTAGGTTTTTGACGTCATCCTTCAATGCTTTTCTAAAACTTTCCACGAAATCCGATAGATAATTATTAAGTTTTTTATCCAATAAGGTACTAATTTTACCCATGGTGACGAGATTGTCGTCGTTTGAGGAAAATAATTGGGAATCGGTTGATGAACAGCTTGAATTTTCAAGGGGCGAATTCAATGGTTTCTCTACGAGTGGTACAAGCGTTTGTTGGACAGGCGTATTGACATTCGATTGTTTACGTTTAGTTATATTACTACAAGATGGACACATCCACTTTGATTTATATTCAGTAGTCAAAGCCGTAAATTGTTCTTTACTTAAATTTAGGCACTCAATATGATATTTTGAACGACAGTGATTACATGCTAAGTAGCGGTCAGTGCGAAGTAGCTTCTTATTGCAGGCAGAGCAATTCATATTAATTGTTTTGCTAATCTCAAACTAAGTAATTTTTGTAAATAAAGTTAAAAAAGACCTCAGCCGTTGGGATTCGATCTAACGCCTCTTATACTTATTTTCTTGTTGCGTTAATGCGTAAGCCACAGCGCCAATTGCTCGCTGATATACTCTTTGAATAAGCGATTCACTTTACAGAGATAAATGTTCGTTGAATAATGTAAGTGACTTATAACTTATTGCATACCCGTTGCAAAATAAACAACTGACTGCAACTTTTAAAAATGACTACGGTGCTTCTCACACTTTTTGGAGTATTTCTATCACAATTTATCACAAAAACACTGAATGATTTAACCACTCGAACACCAATAAAATACTGCATCTATTGATATTAATTTTAAGTAAGTTTAAACACTAGACATATTTTATTTTTTTTTAAAAACTAGGAGTGCACGAAACCGTTACTGTCGGCGATCGCGGCGATTTATTGAAAACGGGCCAAATTAGGAGTACCCTTAACCGACGAGCATGTATGCGTAGGTGTATGGATGTGAAGGAGGCAAGAGAGGTGTGTCAGGATCGTGCCAAATGGAAGTCTGTAGTCTCTGCCTACCCCTCTGGGTGACAGGCGTGAGTGTTTATGTTTATGTATGTATAGAATTATGTTCTCTACCCTGTATTGTTTTTGATGGGACACCGGAGCCATATAGCAACACCGTTAAAATCTAGGTTTTACTTTTGACAATTTTTTATCTTGGGCTCCGCAGGTCAATGAGGTGAGTAGAAGGCTGTTTGCATCGGTCGGATCTCTCCGTAGATTAAGAAATTTCTTACCTACACCTACTAAAATTGCGCTTGCACAATCACTCCTCATATCGTTTATAGATTTGGATTGCACGTGTTATCTCAATTTAAATGAGGACCTGCTTGATAAACTTGAGCGCATTCAGAACCTTTGCATACGGTTCATATTTGGACTTCGAAAATATGACCATAATTCCGAATATCGCGAAAAACTCGAGTGGATTCCGATCCGTCTTCGTAGGAATACTCACATTATTTCTCTTTTATACTGTATTTTATTCAATCCCACTTCTGCTGATTAACCTAAAGAGCGGTTTGAGTTTCTTGGTGACACTCACTGTCGCTCTCTTCGCTCTGATACAAACCTCACCCTAAATATCCCATCCCATAACTCTTCCTTCAATTCTGATTCCTTTTCTACTGAAGCTGCTAGTCTATGGAACTCCCTACCGCTGCACATTAGAAGTGCGCAGTCTATTGAAAAGTTTAAAAACTTGTCAAAATGCACTTCTTTCCTCCTTAAATAGGCATATCTCAAAAAAAAAACGTATGTTAGCGACGACAAAGTGAATTCGAACATTTAATCTTAATTATTCCTTATCAGTGATTTAAAACTAAGTGATAGTATTTAATCTTAATTGTTTCCTATTCGTAAAATAAAGCTAAGTGTAAAGACTGATTAGTGCTGAAAACAGGAAAGTAAATTAAACACTTCTATTCTTATCTTAAAGTAACTTATATGAATCTATTTAATATTATTTAGGTCTGATTAGAACATTAGACGCAAGTATAAGCTTATTTTCTAGTAAGATTTCTTTTATCATAACTTTAAGAGCTATTAACATATAGGTGATTAATATAATTCTTTTTCCTTTAAAGTAATTCAAAAGAAACATTAATATGTCAATTAATCACTATATAATGTTATTTCAGTATGAGAAAGATTTAAATTTCATGAAAAAATATTGTATAGATTCTTAAGCATTATTCCTGAAAAAGTGTTGTACATTCCTACCTCTTGGCGGCGCTACATGTATGTTCGGCAAAAAATACTATCCCACTCCGGAGCTAAACCGTGAAGCGCCCGCGAAGCTATTTTTATTTTTTATAAGTGTAAAATAAAGGTTTATTGAATAATTTAGGTCTAGAATAATAGAAATAAGTTGTATCTATCGTTAGGAATAAACATAAATGTTGTAAGGTATGTTTTACCACGTTTATTAAGGAAATTGTAAATCTCTCTTAGAAAGGGTTATTCTGTGCTCTGATTGGTCAATAGATTCACTAATGCCGTGTGCGATTTTTTCTTAATTATGATTGGTTACAGCCGCTTATAAAAAAGGGGCGTTTTTTCGTGGTAAAACATTCCAAATCCGGCAATGTAATAATAAGGAATCAAGAAATAAAATAAGAAGAAACTCTCAAGAAGTGTTATTCATTGCTCATCTAACTGCTACTGTATGCTCTCCAGTTAACATCCCGCCAGCAAACCCGCTCTATTTTATCAACGCTCCCTTATGCGAGCAATTACATTGGTCCTTCGAGAAGCCGGATCGGGTTTAAGGAAAACTAGGAAGATGCCTTCAAATACAAGATCAAAATCAGTGCAGTCGAAGATCACGAGTGAAAGTAACGCCACTACGGGTACCAGTACGACGGATTGGAGCATGAATACGCCGAGTGATTCTACAAACACGACGGCTACTAACACGTCGACTTCAGATCGATCGACGCTTACAAGAGCATGCCCAGCATAGACAACCCGTACTTCTTAACAAGAACATTGCCGGAAAAGAATCAAGACCGGGGGACGTAACCCATACCACCCCCCGACACGCACCGTCGAAGCGTCAGTTCCTCACCAAGAAGAAAGTCATCCAACACCGCAGATTCAAGAAAGAAGTGTCGCAATGTAGACTCTGCAGCAGCCTCACCCTAAGAAGACGACCCGCGATCCAGACACGCTTTCCGTTCGCTCGTCGCATAGGAAGAGAGCAGAAGCGCAAGCAAAGATGACAATAGCATTAAGGGAACTAGAATTGGCAGAAGCACGGTCAAAAGTTGCTCAAGCGGAATTAGAACTTCTCACAGCGGAATCAGAAGAGGAAGATGGTGCCGGAGAAGAGCTGTTCGAACGAACTCGAGAAGTCGAACGCTGGTTCATCCAGACCGGAGACATGCCTAATAAGAACCACAAACCAATAGAGGCAGAAGAAAAGAAAAGTGACATCCAGGAACTAGCTTCAGTCATACTAAAGCTATCAGAAAAATCACGTGACACCGTTTCACCGAAGCACCTCGAACTCCCTCACTTCAACGGGGCCTGCGAAGAATGGTTAGCCTTCAAAAGATCATACGAGGATACGGCCGCTTCTTTCAGTAGCAATCAAAACCTAGCGCGCCTTAGAATAGCGATCCAAGGAAGAGCTAGAGAAGCCGTCCAAAGCATGCTGTTCACCGCCGAAGACCCACGCGAAGTAATCAAGGGACTGGAAGCAAGATTCGGAAGACCTGGAGCACTAGCATTAGCAGAACTAGAAAAAATGAAGAACCTCCCAAGAGTCGGCGAAAATCCGAGCGACATATGCATATTTGCAAGCAAAGTAAAGAACGCAGTCGAGACAATCAAAGCCCTGAAGAAACCACAGTATCTCAGTTCACCTGAAACGCTGAGAGTTATAGTAGACAAGATGCCGACGTCAATGAAGTTCCGTTGGTTCGCCTACCACAAAAGCAGAAGAGATGAGGAAATTCAGGAGCTATTACTTATCGAAGCGTTCCTAGAAACAGAAGCCGACATGTGCGGAGACTTCGCCCCGCCCGAAGCATCCACAGAACAAAGAAGAGGAATAAGAAAACCCGTTCATTTGGTTCAAGAAGCGTCAAAAGAGAAATATAAGAAGTCGTGTCCGTTCTGTGGAAAAGAACACTTCGTATTAGAATGTAAAAGGTTCAAAGAAGCCAACCTGAATGAAAAATGGGATATGACCAAGAAGGCAAAGATATGCTTTCAAGTGCCTTCGATTCAGACACTCAAGAATCAACTGTAAAGCACCAGTCTGCAAGCTGTGCAAAAGATGGCATCATACCATCTTACATTCTGACAAACCACCGGCGTCGATAGAAAAAGAAGCAAAAGACACCAATAGCACCTCAGAAGAAAAGGTCGCCTCAATTCATAACGCCAAAGGAGAAGAAAAGGCCTACCTAAAGATGATCCCCGTGAACCTCTATGGCCCAAAAGGACAAGTTCGCGTATTGGCACTACTAGACGAAGGGTCAACGGTCACGCTCTTAGACGCATCAATCGCTGAGAAAATCGGAGTCGAAGGAAAGAAAGAAAAACTCACGATCGAAACCGTCGGCGGAAAGGTGTTAAGAAAAGATAGTTCACAGAAGATCGAGTTCAAAATAAAAGGGGTTCATAGGAAAGAAAAGAGAACTATCGTAGCAAGGACCATCGACGACCTGAAGCTGTCTGAACAATGCATAAACAAGGACACCGTGAGAAACTGTAAGCACCTGAAGGCAAATGAAAATCAACTCCTCTACGTCACCGAGAGGCCCAAGCTACTGATAGGCCAAGACAATTAGGGACTGATATTGACAAGAAAGCTGAAGAAGGGCAAACCATCAGATCCTGTAGCTTCCCTCACGAACTTAGGGTGGGTGTTACACGGATGTGAAACAGGAACAACTGCCACAGTACAATTCACTCATTATGGCAAAGCGACCACTGGCGAGGAAGACATAGAAGACCTCGTCCGAGAACACTTCCAACTAGAGTCTCTAGGGATCCAAAATCGTTCACCATCTAACGACAGCGACAGAAGAGCATTAGAAACCCTCGAGAAAACTACCAAGAAACTGCCAAGCGGTCAATATGAAACGGGTCTCCTGTGGAAAAAAGAAGATGAACGCCTGCCCAACAACTACAATCAAGCTGTTCGACGCCTGGTCAGCATCGAGAAAAAATTGGATCGTGATCAAGAAGCAAGAAAGCACTACGAGGAGCAGATCCTGAGTCTAATCGAAAAAGGATACGCAGAGAAGGCTCCAGAAACCTCTAACAAAGGAAGGACATTCTACCTACCCCACTTCGCTGTTGTACACCCAGTCAATAAGAAGCTAAGAATAGTGTTCGACGCAGCTGCCAAGTACGAAGGAAAGAGCCTCAACGACGCCTTGCTCTCGGGCCCAGACTTGCTACAATC